TAATTAGTTAAATAAATAATTAGTTAAATGATTAATTTAATTATTCGTTTTTTAAATTTTGTTTTCCATGCTTAAACCTTCTTACTCCGTTATTCATTTTCCGTTCTAAATTAAAACATTTAAAAATGCTGGAAACACTCCTCCGACAGTGTTTTGAAGAATTGTTTTTTAATCGGTAGGTGACGCATACAACTTTAAAACACCAAAAAAATAACAGGAAAAGATAAATACATTTAACCCAGAGTTTTTCTAAAACAATTTTTTAATTATAAACTTTTCAAAGAAAAGTTTTTATAAAATAATAATACAGAGTCTGAAAATTTTTTAACGATAAGTCGAAAATAGATTAATAATAAATAAAAAGTGCCGTTTACAGTTGCCATCAAGAAAATTTTTATGAAAATTTGTTTTTGTTTGGGACTGTACAATAATTTTATGATGAGATTTTCTGCAAAGGAGGCCACGCTTTGAGTGGAAAGTGGTCCAAAAGTTTGTGGCACATTGTAAAGGGTGGAAAGGGTGAAAGCTTGTGTGACATCCCTTCTTGCTTTGCACTGTTTTATTTTCTACTGTAAATAAAAAACAATTGACAAAATTTCACTAAAAAAACTTCAAACGCATCGAAAAATTAATTAAAGTCGTTACAACTAAATTGTAATTTTCAAGAGAAGAACGAGGGGTCAAGAAGCTGTGACATGGGGTTCTAACATTTGTGATGGTTTGAGTTTGTGACAGGGCGGCGGAGAGTCAAAAAATTTCAAATCCAGCGTGACATCATTTATGGACAGCCCCTGGTGTCAAAATGTATGATAGATGATTTTATAATTATCTAACATGATTTTGCAAAATATTGTTTCAGAACATAAAATTCAATTAAATAAAAATTTTTGTATACAAATATTAAAATTTTAATCAACAAAAATAATAGGATTTGTTAAACTCATATGAAGAAAAAAATGAAAATGATCATAAAACAACTCTCATATTTTGCCGTTAGATTGACCACTCCAGGTAAATTGTTTGTTACATTCATCGCAACACTGACAAAATTCACCAATTCTGTTAATTAGTATAAAATTCATAAGCGAAAAAAAAATTGAGACCAGCTGTAGGAAAATCAAACAAAATAGACAAAACATTCAATGGCTATTCAAACTAACAATCCTTAAAACATGCGAAAAAGCAAGTCCTCAATGAAGAAACTGCAAATTAACAATGAAACATTTAATTTAAAGTGTTGGGATTCATTGAATTGATGACGTGTTCGTCTCCATCATGTTGCCCAAGTTTTAAGGAGTCCTGACAAAATAACGAACAACAATCTTCAATTGTTGTCAGCGGTGCTTCTTACATCAAGAACGGACAGATTGTTATCAGCTACAAACCTTTTCAAAAAATCTCCCCCTTGTTCACCTCCTCAATTTCATATGATGAAAAAAAACATTTGGTGAACGGCATTTAATGACGCGATAAATATAAATATGTATATATATATATATATATATATATAAATATATACATATATACATATATATATATAGATACAAATAATACATATAGTATGTACATGTATGTATTTGTATAACCCAGAGGTATGTGCCAGTGCACGTATGATGAGGTCTAATTGAACAAAAGAGGACTTATATTCAATCACCGTTCATTGTCCGCCTATTTGTACTAACCCGCAACATGTTATATTAGGCCATGGGCCATAAACACGCACGGCTACACAGTCCTGAACACACACACAACACACATATAAACATATACACACACACAAGCACACATATAAGCACACATACACACATAAAAGC